AGCTTTTCATCATTTGAGTGGGTTGATAAAAAATGAGTACCAAGTTTGCTTAGGGACTAAACACCGGAAGTCCTGCGGCAAGCTGACCACTTGCCTAGGGCATATGCTGATGCACTCTGGGGTCAAAAGTCAAGAAAGCAGAAAAACCGCACAGCAGGTTGTGGCCCACTAAGGCTGTTGCACCACTGAGTTTAGTTTTTCTCTATAATTAACCTCCTACAATTTTTAGTCGCTAGTAATCCTCGAAAACTACAAAACTGAGGTTACAGAAGAACAAAATGTCTGCTTTTATTCATTAAACACAATTTAGAACAACTCTTAAAAGAAATTTAAAGAAAAAACATTAAGTGGCTTAAATCATGCATGTAATAAATTTTGTAATATAATGCTCAGAAGTAAAGCAGTGTTTCAACATCGCTTTAGTATTTTAAGACTGTTACAACATTTTTATTTTTTAGGCCAAAAGGGCTATTAGTCTCAAAAAATAATTTTGAGTAGTTTCATTTTTCATTCTGTCGCCATTCAGAAATACTAACATATTATTTTTTGAGACTTAATTTCTCTGTTATTAAGAAACTAATCTACTTAAAAGCAACAGAAATTATTTTTTTACTTTTTAATCTGACGAATTTAAACAAATATGTATTTAATTTATGATCTATCTAATTAAAAGCATGCAACACATTAACAGAATAACATTACATATTTTTTTTCTTTTTAAATACACAAGATATAGAATGTTCCTGTGTTCTATATGCATATTCATATAATAGTCTATAAAAGTTTCGCTATTCTATCTGACCCAGTGCTTAAATTGCGATGGAGCCCTAAATAAGATGAGCTCCGATACTTCTTTTTATAAAACAGAATCACAATTTAAAGGGGAAATTTGAATTCCTAACATTTTAGTTTAACAATAAGCAGACCTTGCAATACTCTATTTACCTAGAAATATGAACTCATGAGAACATGAGACGTTCAAGTAAAGTTCCCTCACTCACATGCGGAAACCTTTACCTTTAAGAAGGGCAATAAATTTGGGGGAGTTTGTTTAAGAACGCATAAATTTCTCGCCATGCCATCATGTCTAGTGTATAGTTATCTATGCTTACAGTTACCTATCTTCGCAGGAAGGAAAATTTGTGTTCTTAAATGTGCGTTAAGTGACAGTGAGTACAATAAGAGTGAAATACTGAGATGAACTGCTCAAGCACGTCCTATACATCGTCTTCCCACAGTATCCACTAATGTGGGGGAAAGCATAAACAGCAACTTTACATTCATCCTTAGGAGTCAGATTCACGACTCATTTTACCCATGACACACATCTGCTTGGCGACTATAATTATATCAGCAGAGAGTCGCGGTCAAAGAGAACGTTCTCTCTCACCAGATTCCCCTTATTTTTTGTTTTCCCCCACTCATATCCTCATTCTCTGTTTTGCCCTGGAATTTTCATCAGCTATACTTTAAGTATATTTAATTTTTGTGATGATAAAAGAACTCCCCACCCCCTACGATCAGAGCTCACTGAAAGTTTTTGTAATAAATCATAACTCTAGTCGGAACGCATCGGAGCCCTGAATAAGAAGGCTGCGGTACTTCTTTTATGTAGTTGAATAACAATTTCAGTAGAAATTTTTCCAAAATTTTACTTTAGCAATAAAATTATATTAAAAATTGCTTATTAAATTTCAATTTATCGCTTTACATTTTATTTAATTTTAAGTTATTTAATTACTTCAATCTTTAATTATTTCAATAAATAATAGTTAATTATCCAATAATTATCAATTAAAATATAATAAATTTTATAATAATTATTGATTAAACAACAATTTATAAACATTAATCAAATAGCTATTAATTAATTTGATAATAATTAACTATTTAATTTTAATATTATTAATGAGTTTAATTAATTATTTTATTTATTTACTTACTCTATGCCGCTGTACGCAATGAATTGGAAGATGATCTGTCAGCACTATCCTTATCTTCAGGGCAGATTTTTTTTTTTTTTTTTTTTATTTGGCTTATACTTCCTTACTAAATGTAGTATTTCATCTCGATGTACTCCGTCTCTGATATGATTTAAATCAAATTCCTCGTCATTGTAATTGGCTTCCGATAGTGAAGAAAGTGACACAGAGGTTATTGGAAACCAAAAAATTTCGATTGACAAATTAGTCGGTATTCTCGACACAGCAGTTATAGGACTTGAACAGTGGAACTTTGTAACTGAACAAGAAATTATGTCTGTTTATAGAATTAAAGAGAGAGTATTATCACATGAAACGAAGCAACTTAAACAACTTACATTGAAAGAAATGTTTAATAAAGTAAACAAATAAATATTAAGCTTTTCTTTTTTTTTTGTAAATTTTGATATTCTTTAGATCATAATTGTTCTTTATTACATAAATTACGGTTTCATATTTTTAATTCTATAATTTCTGCATGCCATCTTACCAGATTTAAACTGATGATCTATAATGCGGAAAAATCGATAATCCGGAACCGCCAAAGTCCCGACGAGTCCGAATTAAAGACTTTTGACTGTATTTACTTTACTAGGTGTAATGGAATAAATTTATCATTACAAAGAAAACAACGGCGGAAAAGTTTTCAGATTTTATATTACGTCCAAAGGGTTTTTTTTAATGTTTTGTGTGTTACCTTTATTTATTAAATATCATGTTCTTCGCACTTAAACCACAAAATTCAACAACAATATCACACAATAATTTTAGAAGCGCATGTCTTTAGAATTTTCGATATACAGTCTCTCGCATTAAATTTTTCCCTTCCCTGTACAGTGTTGCCATTGCTCGCTTTGAAATTGCTGAGTTTGTTAATCATAAATTCGTAAAAGTTTTTCAAAATATGAAATAGATAATAAAACAAATTTCAAACTTGGGCTTCCAGATGCCCATATTTGGATGGAGGATTACATTATTAAAAAAGATGACTGTAGGTACCTTTGTTTTATGACAATGCGAGAAACATGTATACATTTATGCAGATTTTTCATTATTTAATTTCTTTAAATATAATACAGGCAACAATTTGAAAAGTGATTCAACACATTTAAATTTTCAACACAAAATGTCAAAACAAAATTAATAGCCCTTCTCTGGGTGAAATTGCCCCTTGGGCTAAAAAAACATTTCTGCTTTTAATGTATGTACAGAATTTTTTTTTTTTTTTTTTTTCAAATAAAAGTTTATATTTCAAATTTCTTCACTAGAAGAAAACAAATCTGACTGTTCTTCTATCTTAGGTAACTTTTTAAATAAAGATAGTTTTAAAATAGACAAAAGTTTACAATGAAAGATTGCAATATTTACATGACTTTCATTAATGCTTAATCATTATTTTCCACAGTGCCAAGAAAATAATTTTTGGGTTTGAAATTTTTTAATCACAGTTCAGCAAACAGATATGCACTCAGCACATTTAAAAAAAAAATTGATTGATTATAAACTAATTCTGGAAGGGGGAAAAATTAAAGAACTATCATTAAACAATACTAGATAAGTTTGTCAGAAGAATATATGAACTTATTAAAATGAGCTACTTGCATTTTATTTCCTTTTAGTGACAACTTACTGTATGACACAAGTTTATCAAATACTGTTACACTGTAACAAAATGTAAATTGAGAAACTAACCTGATGCTGCATCTGATATAAGAATTCAGGTTTCTAAAACACTGTGCTTGATATTAAAAGAATTTGCAATCTGAAGATTCAAACACATTGAAAAATAAATTAAAAAAATTCTTTACTTCACTTAATTAATTAGTTTTAATTACAATTTCCAGTAAAATAAAAAAAAATCTGAAAGGTTTCATATTTTTAAATTATGTCCAAAGGTTTTTTTAACGTTTTGTATGTTATCTTTATTTATTAAATATATTCTTTGCACTTTTATTAAATGCATTCTTTGCACCATAAAATTCAGTTCAACAGAATGTTGCAAAATAATTTTAAAATGAGCATATCTTTAGAATTTGCGATGCACAGTTCCGCATATTGGAAATAAAAAGGTTCCCCTCCCCATAGAGTATTGCCATTGCTCACTTTTAAATTGTTGAGTTTGTTAATCAAAAATTCGTTAAAAGATTTACAAAATATGAAATCGGTAATCAAACAAATTCCAAATTTCAAATTTGGGATTTCAGATTCCCATATGCACGGTAGGATTACATCATTCAAAATTGGATGGCTCTAGGTACTGTTGTTTTATCACAATGCGAGAAACATACATACATTTATGCAGATTCTTCATGATTTAATTTCTCTAAATATAATACAGGGCGATAGTTTTTGGGGGCTACAATTTGAAAAGTGATACGCTGTTTAAGGTTCCAAAGCAAAATCGCAAAACAAAAACAATAGTCCTTAAGAGACAAAACCTCTTTGGACTAATAAAAATTTTTAAAAAAACTGAAAAACATTTCTTTTATACATATGATATAAAATTTTGAATAAATATTTATTTTGTTTATCAAATATATCTGCATCATCATTTAATTAAACTAAAAACACACATTTACTCTAGAGTTCCTTAAGAATTTTAGGGACTTAAAAAAAGCACTCCACGATGTGAAAAATTTGGGAAACGCTGGTCTAAGGTATAGACCTGAATAAAAAATCTTTTAAGAAACTCTTTACTTAAAGAAAGTATACAAAACAATTTTTCTTTCTCTCCATTAAAATTTCACAATAATGCCTTTTGGATGTATTAACCTTCTAAGAGCAGTAATTAAACTATAAGGCTGGTTTTTTAAGCCTTTTGCTACAATTATTTTCTTTTTCATTATTCTTCAAACAATTAAACATGTCACGAATATAGTATTTTGTTAAGATAGGTTACAGTATATCATTCTCAAGTAAAATCTCTCATTAGCTACCAATGCCCTTCCTCCTCTCAGAGAATAAAAAAATAAATAAAGTGCTTTTGAACAAATTAAGTCAATTAGAACTGACAACAATAAAAAAAATTGTAAAGATATCAATTTATTGAAAAAGTTGCATTGTAATAATTGAGAAATACATACACATAGAAATATATGTACAAAAGCGAAAACATCACAAAAACAATACTTCAACAAAATGAGCCTTATCTGAATATGCATATAAAAACATAAGAAAATAAAATTCATATGCAATACATAAAAAATGTTGGAAAAAAGAAATCACGCATGATTACATTATATATAATACATAAAGGCTGATATTGAGATGCTGAGATCAATACACTTTCCATTAAATCTGATTGCGAAATAATAACAATAAAATTTTCAAATTTCTGTTCACTTTAGTTGAGAAATTCTTTTAATTATGCATATAAGATCCATACTGTAATATAAATATTATTTCGCATAAAAATTATTTGACACACGCACATGAATTGTCAACATATAAAAAATGCAATAAATTATTTTACAGTACTGATTGCATAAAATTTATAAAATAATCACTTGCTTGTGAAAAAACAACAATTACAAGAACATCAAATGCTTAATAAGAAAGTAACATCGTCAACACAAAACACATTAAAGAGGTATTTTTCGCTTTTATGATTCTTCGAACAAACCTAACATTTCGTTCATGCTCTCAACTAAAAGTTCTAGAAATTTCTTTGAACTGGTATGAGGACAACAGTGTTTTGAGGAAACATGGAAAAATATCCTGTAGTCGGATGGGAAAAGATATGACACTCCATAGCCTTCATCCGAGACAGGACCAAAACCACCCCCGGCTCCCAGCTGGAAAAAAAAAAAATAATAATATTAGTAAATGTTTTTGTCTAGTTCAGTATGCTTATTAAAATGCAACACATATAAACTATAAAACTATAAAAAACTATAAACTATAAAAAATATAAAACTATAAAAAAGCCATCTTCACTAACACTGAAAAGATATATGATAGAATAGACAGTATTAGAATACAGAAACACATAAGAAACAAAATAAATTCACTAAAAGTCATTTAAGAAATGATTCTTTCTCTGTTATAGATAAATTATATGATTTCAGTTAAATACATTAATTTGTACTGTCAAATTCCAAGCATTAATCCTTTGTTGCTCAGTGTTCCACAATCTTGAATTGCTTCTGAAACCGTTAAATTCAACCATAAATGGATTAAAATGCCTTTATAATATACTTTGAACTTCTCTTTTTACTTCCTTGTACGAAGTAAAAAGGAAGTATTGCAATTGCGAAATGTTTCAGGCAACGTATTTCAATGAAAATATCCATTTTGACCGCTATCGAATACAATTTAAGGATGTTTTTGCGTGATATCTGTACGTAAGGACAGAATAAAAGACTCTTTTCCTCCAAAAAATTATAAAACTGCTTTAAAATTAACTCTGTAGAGTATTTTTCGTGGCGTCTGTACATACGTACGTATCTCAAAAACGAGTAGCCTCAGAACGTTGAAATTTTGTATATAGGACTGCTATAACATGTAGATGTGCACCTCGTATTTTGGTTGCAATCAGCCACATCAAACGTATATAAATATATTTATATATATATCCACTCTGTTACCCGGCTCAGTGATCTCAGTTTCTTTACCCTTATATGTTTGTAAATTGTACATTTTTTGCTTTAAAAATGATTGAATTATGTTGTTTTCATCTTCCGGTTAAGGTTTTTATACCTTTAATAAATCTGTATGCAATATTTTTAGAATTATCGACAATTTCAAAGTTGTTTAAGTGCGGCTAAGCCTTTTTTTTTTTATGGCGACCATTGATTGTTTACATTTGAAACAGCAGACTAGTTGATTTGTTGCCAATCTAGAGAAACTTAGCTTTGCAACAACAAAGGTAACGCCTTCATTTATTATTGCCAATTAAATCATGCTTAATTTTTTCTGGAATTTTTTCGAGAAAATAGGTGTTTAAGATTTACTTCGTAATTTTTAATATAGATATTTTGAGTTTTTATGTATTTTTGCGAAGTGAGAACTGAATTAATTGAATGAGAAATACTCAATCTTCTGTGAAAAACTGTTTCTTTTTTATTTGCTTAATTTCTTTTATACATCGTTCTAGCTTTATTATAGTATTTGAATAGAACATGTGGCAATGATTAGATAATTCTTTAAATGATATAAATTTTGTGCATTATGAGTTATAATATGAACGAAATATAATACTGTTAAGTGAATCTAGCGCCAGAGTGTCACTGTGGTAAACCAATACTAGAGTGAATTTTAAAGAAGGCATTTATTCTATTGTGGTTTATGCGCTGTCGGCGAAGTAGATTTAATTCAATCCAATAAGTTAAAATGAAATCCAAGAAAAAATGCGTATAATTTAATATTCCGTACAAGGAAGTCATGTGGTGTACACATTAGATTTTTAAATAGTAGATGGCAGCATATCCCAAGGAGACTCAGAATTTTCATTTATGATGTGTGTTATTAAAAACCACTTATTTTCTAGTAATTTTCTAATTTTTTAAAAATTTTGATGGCTTTTATTTATTTGTTATATATTTTTTTACATTTATCATACAAAAAGCATATGCTGAATCATTGAATAAAATGGGGTTAACAGAAAAAACTGAATAATTGAATAAAACTGCGCCTTTAGCAATCTCGTGTTATTACGCATCAGAACATCTGTTTCAGGAGAAGACATTTGTTATACATGTTTTCTATTTCCGTTGTTTTTGGGAAATGAATTTACACGAAACAGTCTTGAGTAGTGAGGTGTGGTTCATGTTATGAAAGTCCTAATATAGGCATCTTGAAATTTTTGTGAGTAGTTTTCAGGTGGGAATTTTATCAGTAGCTTGAGTCATCTTTACTTAGGGAGCTCCGCGAATTTTTTGCTGTCGCTTTTTAGTTCATTCCCGTTTACTTTCAATAATTGTTTAGATATTTTTTATGTATGTATTATCTTATAGCTTATTTTTCTTTATTGATAATATTAATCGTAGTTAATTTTTCATTATTAATTTTCCATAAATTGCATGGAGAGATGTAACTCTTTTTGAAGCTCTAAAAGTGCTTCATGAATTCATCCTCTGATTCTGAATCAGAGCATGAAGACAACAGCGATACTGAGATATATGCTCCTGTACCACTTGTGTAATCCGATGATGATATGTTGGATGGAACTCATTTATTTGATGAGAAGGTTGATGATCCATCTCATCCAGGTCCCTCTATGCTACGTTTTTAACTTGATTTCTAAACATATTGTTGCACAAAACAGAAGCCGCACAAAACAAGTTTTGTGTTCAAAACCTGCAAAGTTGGTTTGTGCTTCTAATAAAAAAGTGTGACATAGTTTGAACAATTTCACGAAGCTAATGAAGTTTCAAATAAAAGATTTTATCCAAGTAAAATTTTTATTCTATGGTATAAAAAATTTTTCATTCAAATCAAATACAAAGAAAAATTTAGAAAGAAATAGTTTTTCATTTATTATAAGAGTAAGTTTTGAAGTAATGGTTCACAAATTTACAAGATTAAATTGTTTTAGAAGTCCCTTTATAACTTTTCTATTTTTTCCCCCAAATGCTTTTAATATAACTAAAAAGGTTTTCTATTAAAGTTTGTCCATAATCACGGCTTAAATTCAGATGGTGTCCACAAAGCTTAGTGCTTTAAACTCCTTAGACTATCAGAATGAAATAGTACCTCTGAATTATAAAGTTTCTTGAATTACTTGAAGAAATTGGAATGGAACAGAACAGAAAAATTACTCAATATAATAGGATGAAACAGTTATGTCAAGGTGGTGCATTAAAACAGATTTTTAATAAATGAAATGAAAATTTTCCTGACACCAAAAATGAATAAATAAATAAAACCTTGAATGAGCTTACATGCAGTAAACCTTTGCTCAATGCAGACTTGTGGACTGTGATTTTGTGTATATATGTTATTTTAATTGTCTACATTTAATTTATCCAAAGCAAGAATTTCAGTTACATGCAGTACACTGCAGAGCATGCTACACGATAGTCCTCTTTAATGACTGGTTTGAAAATTCATTCTTTAAAGAAAAAAGATACTCTTAGAACAGCAAAACCAGAGCTTTAAGGTTCTTCTAATACTCAAAAATGTTAATAATAGGACATAGCATTTAAGTTCTCACAATAATGCATCCAAATGTAGATATTTTGTTAATTCCACCAAACATTCATGGTGCCATATTACTATCTAAATTTTTTGTCTACATTTCAAACTTTAAGCCTAAAATGTCTCCGAAAACCATGTTTTGAACACACAATTTAAGCTAAAATTTCGAAACAAAAACAAAAAATTTAGATAGCAAAACCGTAAAGTTTCTAACCAAAAATATTTGACAAGAATCCATGTACACAGTGATATGTTTTAACTTATTAAAAAAAAATCTATGAATTGACCAATATAGGCAGCGAAGGAATCTATGAACTACGCACACCTTGCTTTAATAAATTAACATAACAATAAATTTCAAAGAATATCATGTACACAGCATTCTCTTACTTAAAAATTCAACTTAAATTACAAAATATTTTAATTTAAATTTTGTAATTTAAATTACAAAATATTCTTCAACTTAAAAATATATCTAGGAATTGCACAATCTAGGCACTACGCACAAATCAACAAAATAAACTAAAATAACTTAGAAATAATTCATGGTGCCATATTACTATCTAAATATTTTGTCTACATTTCAAACTTTAAGACTAAAATGTCTCCAAAAACACAGTTTTCGCATAAGCAAAAACCATGTTTTCAACACACAATTTAAGCTAATTTTAATAAAAAAAAATTTAGATAGCAAAAATGTAAAGTTTCTAACCAAAAATATTTGAGAAGAATCCACGTACACAGCGATATGTTTTAACTTAAAAAAACATCTACGAATTGCACAATATAGGCGGCGAAGGAATCTATGAACTATGCACACCTTGCTTTAATAAATTAACATAACAATAATAAATTTCAAAGAATATCATGTACACAGCATTCTGTTTAAACTTAAAAAAACATCTACGAATTGCACAATTTAGGCATTGCGCACATATCAACAAAATAAACTAAAATAAATTACAAATAATTCAAGAAACAACAATACCAGCAGAAATTCATACTAAATAAACAATGAACATAACATTCTACAAAATAAAAACAATAAAATAAAATGCACTTACAATAATGGATGTTTCTTCGGACAGCAGAACGTAGCTTTAACATGTCACCACATACTCTCTATGGTATTTATATGACAGCTACACTCGCTATCCACAAAATTTATACTATGGTTCACAAATAAATAATAAATACTATGGTTCACAAATAAATTGGTTCACAAATAAATGTTCAAAACCTTCTTTTCCTAAATCCTTGTAAGATTTCCAGCCATCCGAAAAAAAAATAGTTGTACAAGGCTCAATCCACTCTTTAATTCCCTGCATCACCGTTGCCTTACTTCTATCATGCACAGCCATTAAAAATAATCGCCCGGACCCTCTTGCAACCACGTCTCTCATTGCAACATACGCCATTTCAAAACACGCACTACACAAACCATCAAGCAATTAAACCACTCCAGCAAAAGAGTTTTCAACATCAAAAGGGTTGAACAACAGCAGTGTGCATGCAATCATGCCCAAAACCAGCGCGGAACACATATCGCCATATTTGGTGATCATAGGGCGCATATAAGAGTTGAGCCAAATTTTTAATTAAAACATATAAATTTATATGCAAAAGACACACTTCATACATAATATCAAGTTATAAA